GAAGGCGTTGGTTTCGGCATGGGTGGTTTGTTGGCATGACCAATACTGGGCTCCTGTTTCATTCTCCATTTGCGGGCTAGCCACTCAGCGTTGGAAGTTTCTGATGAGACGGTCACAGGTCTCGATGCATTCTCACTCTGCAACCTCTCGATCTCTCTCTTCAGATCGTTGTAGGTTGAGAGTGGCGGTGGAGTTGGAGCATGGGGTAGGGGTGGAGGAGTTGGAGTGGATGGGAGGTGACCAGGTCATGTGTCAAGGGAGTCGGTCGTGTTGTACGATGATGTGCTCGGTAATGGCGAGTGACAAAAGACTAGTGGGTGGAAATGATCTCCAACCAACACTAAACCTCTCCACACTCTACACTATCACCAATGTATTGAATTCGGGTGTTTCGAGTATGATAGAAGCACTCTGCAGACTCAATAATCAAGGTAGGTTGTTCAAAAAGATGTTTTATTTGTTACTAGTGAGTTTTACAAGTGTACTATTCACACTAGTGGGGTGGGTAAGACACAATTGAATGAATGTGACTTGGTTTTGAGCTACTGCGCTTGCTGGGACTATGACTGCTTCAAACTATTGGCTCTCTTGGCCCTGTAATACTTCCTACAAGTGATCAACACTTGACTAGTTCGCACTCTTGGCTTGACTAGTGGCACTCTTGGCCTAGAAACTGCTCCTTACAAGTGATAACACTTGACTAGTTCACACTCTAGCTTACTAGTGGCACTCTTGGCCTAAGAATAATACTTTAACTTCGAGAAATTGCAAGAATTACTTTGAAACACTCTTGGCCTTTGCAGGACACAACAGTATGCTTAAAAGGGACTTCAATTCACTCAATTCTATGGGTAACTTAGCAACTAGTAGCCGCTTCATTGAGGTTAAACACAAAAGCCTTTAATTGGGGGCACTAGACTCTTGCTAGTCACTCGCAATTGCAGGGATGGCTTGTCTGTCCGTGCAAGTGGCTATTCTACTACTTATATACTGTAAGGAAATGTACAAAGCGACACAAACAGCTACACTAGTGGGGTATTATCGGTATGGATTTCTTGGCTAGGCCCAAAATATCGCGCATAAACACACAATAGTCAGTCTAGAAATTACTACTGGGCGACTAGTGAGCCACCGAGCTCAGCTAGCAGTTTAATCTCGCGTTCTTGACCCAGCAACGCGCCACTAGCGCCGGAGATGAATGACTAGCCACAGCCTCGTGCTCGCAACCGTAGTCGGCCGTGATCAAAAGCGCAGCCGGACTATACTAGTGCTGATCGTAATAGATCTGATCGCACTAGTCGGATCTGGGCATAACGTTAATCCGTTGCTAATTCATTTCTAAGTCCTGCTCCGAGATTGCTGCGCGACTAGTTAACCTGACTTAGATGTTTCTGCCCCGATTGGTCTGCTAGTGACTGAACTTCACGAGATCTGTGTATTCTGCTTCTTGTTTGGTGCGCTAGTCACGTTACTCGTCTACTAGTGGTCTTATATTAATTAGTCTGGCTAGTATTCAAGTCACTAGTACAGCCGGCTGGTAGATTTGACCCACTAGTGGTATCGCATCTAAGTCCTGGCTTCACTAGTTGCATACTGCTGTAACTATCAGCTCAAAGCCTCAGCTATAGTCCTTTTATTATCACTAGTACAGGATAGATATGCAATTGTATTGTTACAAAATCGCAAAATCTAGGTGTGAACGTGTAGACGGCGTATCAACAACGAGGTGGTTCTCATTGAGCCAGGCGCCGTACTCTGAACTGGTGGGGGAGTGGGGTCTGTAGTCATCGCTGGCCTCACTGTCAGACCAGATGACGATAGGGATTCCGGGTTCTCGAATGGGGAACTCAGGGCTGGAGAGGGGGGAGATGGTGGGTCTTGGGGAATGGATCGAAGGGATGTCTTCGATTTCTTCAGGAATGATGGCAATTGAAGTCGACGGGGTTTCTTCTGCGACAGCAAGGGAGGATAGTCCTGTAGACTGAGACGAGAGGATTGGGGGAAGGGTGTTCCAGTCTCCTGTTCCTGCAACATAGTGATAAGGTGTGGCAGGACAGTTGGTTTGGAGGTATGGGTGAGGGTGGAAGGCATCTCCGGGGTGCTCGAAGTACCATGGGGTTGAGAAGTGGGGGGCATACTCAAAGAGTCAGCGTATGTATTGTCTGATCTCGTATTTGTACGTTCAGTATAAGAGAAAGATGGAGAGAAGGCTGGTGATGCTGAGGATGGTAGCGACCAAAGCAATGAGGGTGTGGGTAGAGAAGTTGGTGGTGATTTGCATTCGGTTTAGTTCAACATATGAGCATTGAGAAGAAAGGGAATGTAGATAGCTTCAAGCTAATTGTTAGACCTGGACTCCAGTAAAACAAACAAGACTAAACAGAGGGCTGTATCGCGTTCGTACAGTCACCCAATGAGTGTCAAAGTCTGCCAATGGTAGTTTCCAGTTAGAACACTTAGTTGTCTAGGCGAGGAGTGAGTCTGAGAGTAAGTTCAGTGTATTGAAACTTTAGCTCGAAGCTGGAGAATATACAGCGAGAGCTACACTACTTATATACTGTTTCGTGGATACAATTAATATAACTGTCTTTCGGTGTTCGTGAGACTATCCAGAGAGTCTGGGGATGCGTGGGCACAAGTTACTGGAGCTTAGTGGAGTGGCTGGAGTCAGTGCGTGATGTAGCGCTCCAGGGTTTCAGGGATGTGGATATATGACCGTAGTTGCTTGGATAAGCATCAAGATTAGATGCGATAAGATCCAGATAAGATAAGAAAATGGAAAAATTATAACACATATGTGCCAGGTGTCAGGTACCTGGGGAGATCTCATCCACCCTTTTCAAGAGAAGGAAATAGCTCTGTTGAATTTTGCTGAGACATGAATGAAAGAAGAGACATGAGTACTTTCCCAGGGAAGTATACCAAGAGATGACATCACTACAGGATCATGAGTTGCTCAGAATACAGGGATCACACAACTTATTAATCCTCTTCTCCATGCAGTAGTGAGCTAGAATTGGTGACACCCCAACATAGAAAGAGCAAAGAATGCACCTACCAACTACAAGCCTTGTAGCAAATTGAATCTGTCATGAGAGCAGTAACCAGGATAGTTAACGTGCAGGAAGAGAGCACATAATTTTCCCATGACTCAATTTGCAACAATGAAACAAGGTCGGCCTGTGGTCCTAGTAGGAAAATAGATAGATCTTGACTTGTTCAACTCTTGAAGCTCATGACACCAATGAGAACCTGCCAAGTCCTGCCCATGCATCTTTCCTATTACTTACATGCAAAAAATTTGACTATTGTTTCATAAGTGGCATTGGCTGGGATCGAACCAGCTGGCAGTAAGAATGCTCCTCTCCAAGTTGCACAATTGGAGGCTCATACAACCTGAGACAACCTGTTCTACATCTTGAATTCAGCAGGTCAGAATCGCAATGCTCTTTTTCACTGGCCTGCCTAGGATTTGGGACAATGAACAAGAATTGAGCCACAAGTGAGTGGTACTTCTCTCTTCCTTATTGTTGAATGTGAATCTAAAGAGTTGGTTGGAATGGCAGAAAATGTCATTAACAGACACCCATGAGTCCTCCATGGTAGCACTAAAAACATCAAAATATTGTGCAACAGCATGGCAGGGAATCGAACGAGAAAGGATGCTCATCAGTGAACTGTTGCACCATAACACAGATACTGGACTCTGGAACGAACCATGATTTAGCGGCTTGAAAGAGAAAATGGAAGACCCACCAGTTTTGAATTCAGGACAAACATAGAATAAAATGGCAAGGAAAACAAAAACAGGAGAGACTGACCGTTTTTGAGGTTTGGACTTTGCAAGAAAAATTGGTTGGAGATCAAGTTATGCTATCAAGCAGCTGGAATCAAACCAGATTAAGGTTCCCTCCTGAACCATTATATCATTGATGACTGTAACAGACCAGGAGTGCCTGCCAGATGATGTGACAAACCAGATGGTCTGGTAAAAATGATACCACAGTAGGGGCACATTGGCAAGAGCACACTGCACAGGTATTAGGGTCAAACATGGCAAGCACACAAAACCTCTGCTGCTAGAAGAAAAATATAATTGAGGGATGTTTCCCCCTAATTATGGCACAGCTCCAAAGATTCAAAAATAGGGTTGCACACGAAACCCTAGGTTTTGATACACCTGGGTTTATTCCCCGTAAGTTACCAGTAACTTACTGGTAACTTACACCCCTTCGCCAGAGGGGTTTTCATTTGGTTTTCGTTGAGGTAAGTTACCTGTCATGTGACAGGTATTTAGGCACAAGAATTCAGTACTATTATATGCATGTTTCAAGTTATATTGTATATTTACAGATGAGTGGTCTTTACAGCTGAATTATCCTGCATTACAGCAAGAAAATGTATAAAAACACGAAGAGAAAGGTTTTGGAAAAATTTGGCAAGTGCGGTGTGTCAGTCATGTGAAATGCACATGATAAGGTAAGTTACAGTAACCTACCATAGCAAAACAACCCCCTAGGGAGGGGTCAGTAACAAACGGTTACTTACCCCCCCTGGAGGTTTCGTGCGCAACCCTATTCGAAAATCCAAAAAAAATAAAAAGAAACCAAAGTTAAGAAATTGTCTACTGTCCTATTTCAATCAATTCAAATGTCACATGTCTCGGAAGGGTCATTCGTATTCGGAAAATGACCCCTCGTCACAGGTCACACAAGTCCCATTCAAGAAGGTTTGGGGGTCATTAATATGAAAATATCCCATTCTTGGTAAATTCTTGCCCATTTGACGTGTGAATTTCAATTTTTTCTTCTCCAGCTTCATTTTAGGCGAATTTACATGGCCTAGATCAGCACAATATGTACAAAAATCACTCAGCAACACCGCCACCTATTTGGATTTTGTCCGAATGTCACTGTCCTGGAAGAGGTATTTGGTCATTCGAACTGGTCCCAGAAGGTCACGCGTCACAGGTCATTCAAATTGATCGAAATAGGACAGTATTCCCTCTAGCCGACTTGAACAACTGGCCTCATCATGACATGGGGATCCTTCCATATACTAGTGACACGCTCTACCAACTGAGCTAAAAGGGATTACACATGAAAGGACGCTGTTGTGGTGAGATGACTCAACACATTGTGAAAAAAGGTCAGACGACAAAGGAAGGACAGGCGCACCATCCCGCCCGAGTCAAAACTAAAACCTTTCCGCATCTGAGAAAGTTCCCTAGCCGACTTGAGCAACTAACGCCATGTCATTGACAACTGAGCCAAGAGGCCAGATGGTGAGAGGTGCGCGTGCATAAAAGAAAGGGAAAAAGGCGGAAACGCGTGTCGGTACAAGAGGGAAAGTACGAGCGCAGGACCCAAGGCTAGCACATTGTCTTGGGAAGTCGGCCAGATATAGGAATAAGACAAGAAAGCTTTGAACCGCGAGCGGATCGAACGAGGTGAAGAACCGGACGTAAGTAAAAGCGTGAGCTGTAGAGGCATTGTGCATCAGGATTGAAAACGGCGGGTCCACGAAACCCCTGCTACACAATGATGTACGAAGAAAAGACGTTCAGCTTATGAACAAATGACATGAGCTTGAATCGAACAAGCTGTTGCTTTGTGCGCCGTCCCGATACGCCGTGACGCCATGAAATAAAGCAGAGGTTAACATATTCTGTCGTCAGAGCCGTGAGATATAACGCAATAATGGCACAACAAGAGCCGAGCAGGGGTGATAATTGACAGCAACGACAGGCGGTAGGTACAGAACGACGGTACGTAGACAGTCCATCAGATTCAGAACAGTATTTTGGAGGAGGGTATAATATGAGTATGCGTAATTGTCCGTACATAGATAGAATGTGCCCCCAAAAAAAATCTCGTCCAAAAGAAAAAAGAGTCTTTTTAGATAGCGACGACCCATGCCAAGACAGCGGCGAGGACGCCGGCACCTCCGACCTGCGCGCGCGAGGCGGCGTTGAAGGCAGAGGAGGAGGCGGTGGATGCAGCTGAGGAGGTGGAGGGTGCGGTGGACGACGCGCGGGTGGAGGTGCCTGATGCCGAGGCGGAGGCGGAGCTCGCACGAGTGATGGACCCGGACACGGAGGCGGAGCCAGATCCAGACACGGACCTAGAACCACGCTTAGCAAACTTCGAAGGGTTCACAGAAGGAAGGAGACTCACGCGGACGCAGAACCAGACGACGCTGAAGCCGAACCACTAGCACTCACACTACCGCTCGCACTGGCAGACCCCGTCGACGAACCCGAGGCAGACGAGCTGACAGGCTCCGAGACGGAGAAAGTACCCGTCTGAGCGTAGATATTGTTGATGTTGGAGATATTCACGAGCTCGATGGTGTACCCATCTCTGCAACGGTGTTCGTTAGTGTGGGAAACAAAGAGAGAGCAAAACGCACTCGGCAGGGATCTGGGGAAGGTGAGGCTGAGGGAACCGAGGCTGGAGTCAACGTTGTTGGCGATAGCATACTGGCTGTTGAAGGACTGGTTGATGAGCTCGATGGAGAACACGGACGGGTCGCCAGAGGACGTCTGCCACGAGATGGTGATAGGGCCCGTGGAGGTGACGGTCTCTGTCGGGTTGCTGATGGTCAGTCCGTGAACGAGCGTCAAAGGGAGGGCGGCAAGGGCGAGGTAGGTGGAGAACATCGTGAAAGGAAGGGTTGGGGGAAGGAAGGAAAAAAATGTGGGAATGATGAGGGTTTTATTTGAAGGACCACGTGGGAGAGGAAGTTTCGTGAAAAAGTTTTGATCAAGGGGCCGGTTATGTCATTCATCTCCTTCGCTTCCGTCATCGTTTCTAGATCTCATCATCCGTTCTCCCAATGTCATCTCCCACCTAGCGTGAGCACTACCCTCTTGTTCCTCGTTCCTCGTTCATCGCCAAGTGTCGGCCACCCCTCGCCGTGTCTCAGCGCGGATTTCGAATTTCATAACTCCACATTACCTACACCCATTTAAAGCGCGTCCTTCTCGAACCGAAGCCCTTGCTGCGCACACCGCCCCCATGATACATCCCGAGACCTGATACCACTGGAGAATTTGGCCAAGCAGTACGGCGCCACCGGCCCTGACAAGCTCGTTCGAGTCCAACGACTGCTATGTATGAGAGCTCACGCAGGCCTATTTTTCTCTTGTCCTCACCTGCTCGTATAATCTTCTGCTTTCAGTACAGCGCGCTTTGATTCCAGAAGGTCCCTCTTAGCTCAGTCGTTACTGACAAGGCGGTAGTCGTTCAAGTCGGCTAGGAAATATGTGAAGATGAGATGATTTCTTTGTGGTTTAAGCGGGAAGCGACTATCTTCGCTGGCTCCTCTTTCGTATCTCTCCCCGCTGTCCGACCGTGATGCTAATTTTTTCATAGCAAACGTCGACTCCTCTGAATCCCTCCGTACTTTCACGACAGTATAGCGCATCGGGACCGTGTACAGGTTGAGAAGAGCTGAGGGTATGTCATGTGTTGTTCTCTCCACACGATGGTATATTTGACTTATAAACTATTTCATATTCCCTCTTAGCTCAGTTGGTAGAGCGCGTCACTAGTATGCTGCATTCCCGAATTAGGTCAATGACGAGGTCAGTCGTTCAAGTCGGCTAGAGGGAATTCCCGTGAGAGCGTGTAAATTTTGTTCCGTCATCTTTTTGACTCTATCACCCGACTTTTTGAGTTCCTTGAAATCATCCCGGTCTAACAATATGACATATTTCAGCCGCTTGCGGGATTCTTCATTCAGTTTTCAGCTGCCTCTCCGCTAACCGAGCCATCAGAACTTTAGATAGACATCACGCGAGCCGCGTTGACTGATCTTCCTATCTTTCATCTTTGATGGAGGTAAGGACGTCGCACCTAGAAGGTGCGAGCGTCTTTGCTTCCGCTTGACACTGTCGCCCAAATTCTGGATGAGTGCCTCTTCCGTCTTTTCCTCCCATCTTTTCCTCATTCGTACGTCCTTTCGTTTGGGCGCCTCGTGAATTCGTTCTTTACTGGATACATCGACCAGACCTCTCCGTGGAGAGAGCCACGCTGTGTTCCAGTCCAGTCTTTTTCTCCCGCGGGCACATCCCTTTTAGTAGCTCATTTGGTACAGCGTGCCATCAAGAAGGAAGCATCTAACTCTTCCAAATGACCCTTGAACGAGTATATATTCCGTGTAGACATTGCACAAGAAAGAGTCGGAGTCAGTCATTCCGTACTACATTACACCCTGCTCGGTTGTTTTGTTCTTATTATCGACCTCTGCACTCCGCGCCATAGGGACCGGCACGCACCGAGCGCTTGTTCGACTCTACCTATCATTTTGCTTGGTCAGCCTCAACCAAGTCCGTGAACTTGAATGGGAAAATACATGCGTCCTCGTTGCACACGGTGGTTTCGGAAGTGCTTTGGGATGCGTGCCTAATACCTAGTTCGTCAGGATCGACGTATCGGAGCCTAGAGGCCCGAAGGGGATATTGCGTTGCCCACCATCCCCATATATACTGATACCGTACCCATGCTATCAGGCAGTTGAGCGAACAATTACGGTACGGTAGCATACGGCATAACCCGCAGCGTCATACAGCTTTACAGCCGTAAATACGGGTTACTTTACAAAGGCCCAGGAACGCACGACGCGCCCCGATTTTTGACTGTCGCACTCCCTATAAAACTATTCAGCGCCTCCGAATTCATTGTGGGCGCTTAGTGCTTGTCTTTATATCCGTACGTATCCACCTATAGGTGATCACATGGGTCGCGAGGGTATGTTCTCGTTCCTTGATCCCAAACTCGAGTGTCTTCCCATAGCTAGTATAGGTTTAATATTGAATCTCGCTGCGGCTTTTCGCAACTGGCGCGTGCCCTGTCTAGATTCGAGGGTGGAAAAAACAAAAGTGAAAACCCCAACCCAGTGAGGGCATCCACGCCACAAGACCCATAACCTCTCTCAAAGCATTGCTTTCTTCAACGCGGTAAGGACGGCCTGTACAGTCGTTTGTTGCACATATTCTGAAAGCCATCAAACCCATTCCATTCATGCTTCGATCAAAGACCATCCCCATTAAGCAGCAGTGGAATGGGCCATGGCATCCAGTACAAACCAACAGCTGCTATATCAAAGCCAATCTGTTCAGGCGTCTATCATTGTGCAACCTCATTTAGCAGCAGCGGAATGGCACCCACTAGAACCAGCGGCTGCTGTACCAAAGCCATTCCATTCAGGTCGATCAATGTGCAACCCCATTTAGCAGCAGCCTTGGAATGGCATCCAGTAAAACCAACGGCTACTGAGGAAATCTATCAAATCCATTCTGTTCATGCTTCTCGGATGGTTCATCTTGAATATATCCCCATTGGAGCAACATTAGAGACGAGGCCGAGTGGAAGAGTATTTAAATGGCTCCACCGATAGGCGCTATCAGCAGTCAGGTGGGTCGTGAGGGTATGTCATTCTCGTTCCTTGATGCCAAAGCCTTCGAGTGTCTTCCCACAGCTAGCAGTGTACGGGTCACCCGGTACCCGTTAAATGTTCATAAAATTTACGGTGGGCATTCGCCTTCTGCGACTTTTCGCGAAGGCTGGCGCCTCCCTTGTCTAGATTCAAGAGCGGAAAAACGAAAGTGAAAACCCCGACTTGAATATGCCAGTGAGGGACTACGGACCGCAAGGACCATAATCTCTCTCAGGTCATCGCTTTCTTCAACGCTGTAAGGATGGCTTGTACAGTTGTTTGTTGCGCATACTCTGAAAGTCATGATCAAAGGCATGCCATCATGCTCATGCCTCGATGGTACATCCCCATTAAGATGAGCGGTGCAAAATTCACCAGTAAACCTACGGAAATCCATCAAATCCATTCCGTCATGCTTCTTCACTGGTACATCCCCATTAAGATGAGCGGTACAAAATTCGCCAGCAAACCTACGGTTACTGAAGATATCCATCAAATACATTCTGTCTTGATTCGCTGCTACATCCCCATTAAGATGAGCGGTGCAACATTCACCAAAATCCATCTAATCCATTCTGTGATGCTTCTGTGCTGGTGCATCCCCATTAAGATGAGCTGCGCAAAATTCGCCAGTAAACCTACGACTACTGAGTGAATCCATCAAATACATTCCATTCATGCTTCAATGGTCCATCTCGAATATATCCCCATTGGAAACGAGGCCGACTGGAAGAGTAGTTAAATGGCGAGAGGAACGCGGTGCACCAACTTGATAATGGCCTCCTACCCACCAGAGTTCTCACTTCAGAACCGCGGTGCAATGCTGAAAGCAACCTCCTTTGAATCACTACTCTATGGTGCCCTCCTCCTCCTCCAAAACTGTGTCGGTGATTACTCATATTATATTCTGTTCAGCGACACACGCTGTTCTGGTAATTGGTACGGTCTGGAGAGTCGGTGCGTCTTTCGTCTTGACGCCTTGTCCACTTACACCAGACTAATGCCAGTCTCAGTGGTCCGTGATAAAGGCAGGATTCGTTTCATCCGGTGCGGACTGGTCATCGTGATGTACCTCACCGCGACATCCCCTCTCGCCCTTCGATGGAAATTCGTCCAAGGCATCACCGATGACGAAACACAGGAAACCATATATGTCTATTCTCATGGATGGATCCTCTTGAGCTCATTGTCCTTCACGGCAGTTATTTTGATAATGGGGTGCATTGTGGTGAGAAGATATCACTTTACTTACTTGTCAGAAGGAGTTGACGCAGACTTTGGTGTAGGTCTGGTGGTGCTGGTTCTTCTCTGGTCGGAGATTGATGTTTGCCGTCGTTCCAGGACTATGCATCACCGTCGGAACGAGTTTAGCTCTTTCATCATCATCGTCCAAAAATTCGAACTGACGTTCAACCTAGTTTTTGCAGGTGTTGGTCTTCATCAGATGACCGTTACAACCCCCGCAGTCAACGCATGTGCGGCCCAAATCGATTGGATGCTCCCATACTTCTCTATGGTGCTTTCCGTAATACTGTCGTGCACGATGGTCACCTTATATCACATCGCAATGGATTCAAGCATTGATTGGAGAACCCTCCGGCTCTGGATCAAAGTCATCATCGAGTCCTTATTCCTGTTCGCTGCGGCGGCAGTTGTTTACATCATGAGTGACATGCGTATGGTAACGACCTGTCCACTGCTTGTCGTGACCATGATTACTGTGAGGGCGGCCTACAGCTCCATGTGTTCTCTTCCCAGGTGCTAATATGTCATCATCAGAGTTTGGCGCCTATCTTGGCCATCGCTCAGGTACCGAGCAACATCTTGAGCACGAGGCCAGCGTCTACTTGGACTCCGTAGGTTGGACACCCTTGGCAATGCGGGATTGGCATCTGCCAGTGAAAATCGAGAGGGCCCAGCCGTTTGACTCCAGGAAGTGGCGGCCTGGAAGACTTTATGTTTCCTATCGATATTCAGATACCCTCACCATCGTGTTTCTCCCACTTTATTCCGAGTGTTACCGCCTATCATTGGACAAGAGTCACATTGCTATTTGTCGCAGAATGTATCGTATCACTAGTGTGATTCTTTATATGCGCATTAACATTTTGCATCGTGAAGCAAGATGGATCATTATATAAAGGTCGTCAACATAGCCTAAGCACCAAACTTGAAACCGGACCAAAACCAGACTAATGCATCTCTCTTCTTACCATCATGTCCGTTCGTGTGTTCACATTTATCTCACTTGAGACAACGTTTCAGGCAGGCCAGAGCGCTTAACACATCCTCGAAACAAGATATAGAAGCCCGGGCGCTGGCACGAATCACTGTTTTTCGCACTGAATCAACAGACTCAAATTCGGAGCTCACCCGCGAAGTATGATGAATATTATCATTTTTTCTCAGATCCAATCACCAGGACATAATCATTGTCATCAGCCTGATGAAGTGATAGAGATCCTAGATTGGATATCAGCCACAAAACATATTGAAAAAGAGTCATTGGCCAGATTGGTATACATTGACGTATTGATGTAAGATTTTCTGAGTCCCAATTCCGTGAATGACTCTTTTTCAATATGTTTTATCCAATCTAGGATCTCATCAAAACGTCAATGTATACCAATCTGGCCACCATGACGCTCTCCGCGAGTCATATCACGAGCAGGATAAGATTTTCTGAGTCCCAATTCCGTGAATGACTATTTTAATATGTTTTGTGGCTGATATCCAATCTAGGATCTCATCAATACGTCAATGTATACCAATCTGGCCGCCATGAGGCTCTCCACGAATCATATCACGAGCAGGATAAGATTATTGACGTATTGATGGCGTCTCCCACCACCATCGATTTTCGCGGTTTGCTCCCTGGACCCGAATTCTTGCCTCCTCAGATCCGAAAAGTCTCTCTGTGTGCTGGAAGACGTTGCATATGGCCCTGAGAGCGCTTGCTTTGATGGATGGCTCGCAGATTGCCCGGATGACACCAAATTCGAAAATTTGGCGGCTTGGGACTAAATCCTCGCCAGGAGCTCGTACCTGGAAGTACTCGCGGCCTTAGCCTGATGTCTCTACCCAAGGTGCCAACGACCGAGGGATGCTGCCATTGCCTTCGTCTTTTCTGGAGTACATCCTGGCTTCGTCTCCAAGCCTAGCGCTCCTTGCGCCACGGGTCGATGATGGCAACTAATGGCCCCTTCCGACGTGTATGCTAGGGCGCCATCTATTTTCTCATCCAGTGGAACATGACGGCTCACGCGTAGCCTTTCCTTATTGTATTCCGTTTTCCCAGCGGAGACTATGCTTCACTTCTTGTACGTTAATGTTCTCTTTCAGAGCTGATAAGTATGTGCCGTTCAGCCAGCCATCAGCTACTGCCCCTTGAAGACGACTGTTGCTACTAGTGCTTATGCTGTTTTCATGACTGCTACCACGTTCGGCACTCTTCCGACATTACCTTTTACACTCGCTCCAGATTACAGGCTCGCTGCTTGTATCTGCCTGAATGTATTCGTTCAGTTCCAAGGTTCCGAATGAGGCGAATACTACCAGACTTATTGGGGAGGAATGCCCGGTCTGATCCCACAGTACGGATAGGCGATGAAGCTTGAAGGCGCGCACGTCGCCCATTCGATGCTACGGTGTGACTAACTCCAGCTTTCCAGGTCGACCCGCGTGCCCGATGAACCATAACTGCCGAGAAAATTGAACGCGAAGGATAGCTACAAGAGACATGCACTGATTCGCGGTGCTGCGCTAGAACTGACTGAAGATGGATGGTTAGAAATAATAGTGGAGGTGCGGACGTTGTTTATTCTACCTTGACGGCCTGTGGCATGCTGGTTCTATCCCGGCTAATGTTATAGTAGAAAATTGGCCTCTCTTTTTCTCTGGCGGATGCATGCATACGCGTCTGGCTGACAATTCGTGCTGCAATGAAGAAAAAAGCACGGTGATGGTCGCCACCTTCCTCTTTCCGTTTTTGCATCGTCAGATTATCTCTTCCGAGTCCGCCAGGCATTTTACTACCGAATGCTCATCTTGTCGAGCATCTTTCGCCCTTCACGCTTTCGCCCTTCACGCCAGCCTTCGTGTCCAAGGAGCTGCTTCTCGCTGAGCTCTAGTTCTTTTTATCTTCCGGCTAGTGGACGTCTTTTGGCTGGGATCACAGATTGCGAGGCGTCTTTGTTAGGTTCGCTTCACGGGTCCGGTCGTCAATATCCATCCCCGACGAGTGGGGATAGGTACCGGTTTTCTTCTTTGTCAAATTTCTAGCTGTCCGCTGATGTGTGATGTATGCTATGCTCGAGCAACAGATATGTGAATCTGATATCCTTCGGATGATGGACATATTCCAGTGCAGACACCGTCATGTTTCGATACGATGCAGCAGAATAATGAACACTGTTTTCGGTTGGAGATTCACGACTGATAGCTTCCGCATCAATGGCGGAAACTTGAATCGGAACATTCTCAAGGTTTCTGCGATTTCGCCAGCTTTCCTGTCATCATCGGGTCTTGTACGAAAAGTCGTATTTTCGCCCACTACACTCCTACGCCTTCTGATATGGATCATTCCTTCATACAGAGCTGTTTCTTGATCCATCATTTCTGTCCTTCCCGCGTTGTCCGCCGCAAGTGCGCACCCAGCTATCAAAGGTAGTATACCACGCAGACCTACGCTTTCTTCCTAAGTTGTCGCTCCTCAGATTCAATAATCCTGGTTACCTCGACGGCAGTCACCTATTTTTTACGACACTTCGTATTAATGTAAGTACTACAGGTTTGCTTCATGATAAGTTGCTTTGCTTAAAATGCATATTTTCGTTTAGAGGAGTCTTTCGTCGACCTGGCTTTGACGTGGAATAGCCATCTGTGCCAACGTATGATCCTTCCATGATAGCATTTGGAAAAACTGTTTCATGATTAAACGTAGCTCAGGAAACACTGTCTTCCTCTACGACCCAGGGAACAAGCCTTCCCAGTTAACGGTCGCCTGGGTCCTACCCAATCTCCATCATCGCGCCTGCTTCTTGATCGTTAATAAGAGCCTCGCATGAGCATGTTTCCCTTCCTGACTAAGCGACGACCCGCCGATTTTGTCAAAGAAATTGAAACTAACGGTTCCGACATTCACAGGGTTGACACAGAAAAACCGAAAGCTCCATCTCCTCGAAGCGTGTCCGTAGCAGATGGCGCAGATTATGCGGCGCAGCAAGTCTGAGGATCGACAAGCCAGAGTCTAGACGCCAGTTCCAGAGGTTCCACTCCAGCAGAGAAGGCCGCCATCCGATGCCGTACCTCGTCCCGTCGTATTCGAAGCAGCCTAGCAATGAAGCAGAGGCGGAGCGCACGTTCAAGGATGTGGAGGAAGATGCTCGCAGATGAACATGATGCGTAGACGCACAGGGGAGGCGAGTAAGAAATACGGCAGCGGAGAGGATATCTGATGTACATTCAGGGAATAAAATGCGCGGTTGCCAATATGGTCGAATTTCGATACCAACGATGTACAAGGATTTTGAAGATCTGCATATGAGCACAGCTGCCGCACATACTAGAGGTAGGCACGTTGATCGGAGATCAAGAGAGTATCGAGGCGAGTCACAGAGAATGACGCTGGAGAGATACTGCGCAATTGGCTCAGTTTGCACGACCTGTAGAGCCAATGTTAGCAATGCACTGTGGTTGAAACAGAGCCTATGCACGCGCCTCGTAGAATCAAGATGAGGTGGTGCCGTTTGGTGCTGTAGGTACAGAATGACGGTACGTAGTAGACGGTCCATCAGATTCAGAAGAATATTTCGGAGGGGGTATAATATGAGTGTGTGTAATCATTCGTAAATAGATAGAATGTGCCCCCAAAAGTCTCGTCCAAAAGAAAAGAAAGAGTCTGTTCAGATAGCGACGACCCATGCCAAAACAGCGGCGAGGACGCCGGCACCTCCAACCTGCGCGCGCGATGCGGCGTTGAATGCAGAGGTGGAGGCGGTAGATGCAGCTGAGGAGGTGGAGGGCGTGGTGGACGACCCACGGGTGGAGGAGCCTGATGCCGAGGCTGAGCTCGCGCGGGTGTTGGATCCCGATACGGAGCTGGAGCCAGATCCAGACACGGACCTAGAATCACGCTTAGCGAACTTCGAAGGGTTCACAGAAGGAAGGAGACTCACGCGGACGCGGAACCAGACGACGCAGACGCAGAGCCACTAGCACTAGCACCACCGCTCGCACTCGCAGATCCCGTCGACGACGCCGAGGCAGACGAGCTGACAGGATCAGAGACGGAGAAAGTACCCGTCTGAGCGTAGATATCATTGATGTTGGAGATGTTCACGAGCTCGATGGTGTACCCATCTCTGCAAGGGTCGTTCGTTAGTGTGGGAAACAAAGAGAGAACAAAACGCACTCGGCAGGGATCTGGGGAAGGGTGAGGCTGAGGGAACCGATACTGGAGTCGACGTTGTTGGCGATAGCGTACTGGCTGTTGAAGGACTGGTTGATGAGCTCGATGGAGAAGACGGTCGGGTCGCCGGAAGACGTCTGCCACGAGATGGTGATGGGACCCGTGGAGGTGACGGTCTCTATCGGGTTGCTGATGGTCAGTCCGTGAACGAGCGTTAGAAGGAAGGGCGGCGAGGGCGAGGTAGGCTGAGAACATCGTGAAAGGAAGGGTTGGGGAAAGGAAGGAAGAAAATGTGGGAGTGACAAGGGTTGGTTCGCCACGTGGGAGAGGAAGTTTAGTTTTGATCAGCTTCAAGGGTCTCGGTGATGTCATTCGTCTCTTGATGCTGCCGTCACCATCCGCTATCCCATTGTCGTACGCCCAGTCTCCCATCTAGCGTTGGCACTACCCTCTTGTTCGTCATTCATCGGCCACTTCTCGCCGTGTCTCAATGCGGATTTCGAATTTCATAACACCACATCACCTACGCTCATTTAAAGTGCGTCCTTCTTCCTTGCTGCGCACACCGCCCTCATCCATCCTGAAACTTTAGATACCACGAAGAATTTGGCCAAGCAGTATCGCGGCACCGACCCTGGCAAGCTCGTTCGATTCCAGCGGCTGCTATTCAATCGCCATTGAACATTTTTCTCTCCTCCTGCGCTCGCATAATCCTCTTCTTTCGCTGCCGCGCGCTTTGATCCCAGAAGGTCCCTCTTAGCTCAGTCGTTACCGACAAGGCGGTAGTCGTTCAAGTCGGCTAGGGAACATAAGTGAAATATATCAAATGAAATCTTTTTAGTTTAACGGGGAGCGACTATCTTTCGGTGCTGGTCCATCTTTTATCTCTCCCCGCTATCCGACCGTGAACGTATCATTTTTCACAGCAGTTGCTAGCACCTCCGAATGTGTTATGTCCCTCCGTCATCGGAACCACCTAAGGACCTGTAAGTTTTCTTCTATCGCCACATTGTATGCTTTATTTACCCCTTCAGCAATGTTCCCTCTTAGCTCAGTTGGTAGAGCGCGTCACTAGTATGTGTCACAAAGATCAGATCTTTTATGACGAGGTCAGTCGTTCAAGTCGGCTAGAGGGAAATCTCTTTGGCTCTTTTGAGCATTTTGTTATTGACATATTTCAATTTTCAACTTCTTATGGGATTTCGTTCTCCACCCTAGCGTCCCTTTCCACTAATCGAGCTGTCAGAACTTTGGATATACATCATGTGAGCAGCGTTAACTATTCTTCTTACCTTTCATCTTTCTCGGAGGTAAGGGCATCGCACTTGAAACTTCTCGCCCAAAGACGGACGAGTGCGTCTTCCGTCTATTCTATTCAATATTCCCACAGACCCTAGTACGGCTGTTCGACTCGGGCCCTGATCCTGCACTTTTATGCCAACATCGCATTCCTCTTCCAATGCTGGTATTAGTCGTTCAAGGGAAGGAAGGACTTTTGTGTCGAGTCAAATCAATGACTCCAGCGGCAAGTGACTACTTATCATATCTCTCTTCTGGCGCTGACATTCATGTCCATCATCCACAGATCGCTCCTCTTACCGTTAGGATGCGATGGTGACTGCGTTCTACATATTGGCAGAGGATATCGCGCAAGAAAGCGGCCGGGATACAAGTATATCTTTTCTTTCGCTCCTAACTGTGTGTCCCCAGGTCTGGGCATCTTTTTAGAGCTCGAGCCTGAGCGTCGGACGAAACAATTATTCGCATGGTGCAGTGATCCGTGTCCAATCCCAGATGAACACTTGCATCGAGAGCGGTAGTACGTGGGGTGGTTCGTCTTTTTTTGTTTTCTTTACTGGGCGACACGTTACCCCTCTCAAAGCATGACCGTCGTTCCGCTACTTTCAAATATACAGCGCCCTAGTATATCACGGCATGATGGCGCATTGGGACCTAGTCTCTCGTAGACAGACGGACGATACACACCTATGGAGGGAGGGAGTGACGGTGTGTATGAGTCTGTTGTTTATCTAGGGGGCCCTGTTATCACCGACGGTTCCGTTACGTAATGGAATCACATGCACCGCCAACACGTCAATTTACTGACGTGTTTCTATCCAAAGCCGCGCGTTTTTGTGCAGAACAGCGAGTAGAGCCTAACTTCTTTAACTGATGACAGTGCATAGAAGGTCATCTTTGCCATTGAGAATATGAATAGGCGGCTGCTCTTGAAATGGCCTGGCCATCCTTTCAGCTCGGTATTTGCTTTGAAACAGCATCGTTAACAATTTTCATGCCTTCTTGATTATTTCTTGAGAGAGCTTGAGTCATAGGGTCATCATTAAATGAGACAAGCAAAGAGAAACGAGCAGAAACACAGGCGAACGCAGTAGTATCGGTTCAAAGAGTGATGGGAAAGTCCTTCTATGTATGGTAGCTGACGTAACGGCGTCGATGGTGATAACAAGGGGGGCGCGATTAAAACAAGACTAATTGGGACCCTGCGGCAGTGCTTGTTCAATTCTAGCTCATGCCATAGCTATAACGACGACCCAGACTCCATTTTTTTCCTGCTATGCTTGCTTGAATTCTAGCGCATCAGTAACCCTGTCGGTCGTTCTATTATCATAGCCTGCGACCTCTTTTGCCTCAGACCCGCGCATTGTCCAGATTTCTGCTGTCTGCTTCGCTCTTTATGTCGCTGATTTGCAACTTTTTTTCACTTATGTCTGAGCACAGATGAATTTCATAACACCACATTACCTACGCCCATTTAAAGCGCATCCTTTCGAGCCGGCTATCGTCCCAGGCGCACTGCCCTTGTGATCACCATTAAGAATCTGGTCAAGCAGTATGTACTACCAACCTTGGCAAGCTGGTTCGACTCCAGCGACTGCCATGTATTTTTCTCTTATCCTCAGTTGTCACCTGTCCTCGTATACTCCTCTTCTTTCAATGCAGCGCGCTTTGATCCCAGAAGGTCCCTCTTAGCTCAGTCGTTACTGACAAGGTGTGAGTGGCTATCTTTAGTGCTAGCCCGTCTTTTATACCTCTCTCTGCTGTCCGACCATGATGCTGATTTTTTCACAGCAATTATCAACTCCTCCGAATGTACCGCACCTTCACAGCGTCCGCCCGACCGCGTTTGAGAAGAGCGCGTTCGACTCGAGCGCAGATGTTGATTAAGGCAGGGCTGTCTTCTCCTTTCGCCGTTTTACTCACGACTATTGTAGTGTTCCCTCTTGGCTCGGTTGGTAGAGCGCGTCACTAGTATTATGCTATTTGCCATTTTCACGACGAGGTCAGTCGTTCAAGTCGACTAGAGGGAATTGAGCTCGTAGAGTGCTGTTTTGATCCGTTAACAAATCAAACTTCTATGTAAGTTCTGCAGCGACTTGTTATACCACGATGTGAGCAAGTGTCGCCAACTTTAGCTTAATGCAAGCACCTTGACTGTTCTTCCCACCTTTCAGTGGAGGTAAGGACGTCGCACGGGCACCTGGGGTAGAGGGCAAGGTGTGCGCATCTTTACTTCTGCTCGACATTATACTGGACGAGTGCCTCTTCCTTCTTTTTCTCCTATTTTTCCTTCAAGGCTAAACATACTTTTGTGGCACTCTAGGGCCTTCGGGATGTCACTCTGAGTTTGTTTCTTTACTAAACGCATCGAGCTCCTCCTTTCGAGTCATCTCCATCACGCCATGGTGACGCATCGGGACCGCACAGAGAGCCGCGCTTGTTCGATTCGAGCTCGTACCATGATCCAGTCCAGAATAGGCTTCTTTTGCTTCCCGTGGGACGTATTACTTGAATTCCGGCAACCCCCCTTAGCTCCTTTGGTAACACCATTAAGGAGGGCACAATGCATACATCTAATTCTTTGTGACCTGTGAGAGAATACGAGCATGTCGCATTTCACCAGTTCCAACGGAGGGTGGGTTCCCTCAGTGTAGGAGACATCGCATGGGGTGTGCACACTGCATTGGCAAGAAAGACTGAGGAGGTGTATCGTCATTCCGTACTATATTACACCCTGCTCGGCTTTTTTGTTGTTATCGGCCGCTGTACTCCGCGGCATGATGGCGCATCAGTACCGGTGCGCACAGTGCTTGTTCGATTCTAGCTCGTGCTATAATAGCGCAATAATATGTTTTTGCTGGGCTAGCTCAAGGGGAAGCATTCAAGTCCATGAACCTGAATGGGAAAATGTATGCCCCCACTCGTGCCATGCGGTGGTTTCGGTCGGACTTGTGCTTTGGGATGCATGCTCGACACTTCGTATCGGAGGGGGGATGTTGCGCCTGGATGAATTGGAGAAAGAAGCCGAATCTTTTTTTCTTTCCCTTGATGTCCTTCTAAATTTAGGGAAAGGGCTTTGTTTATTCAAGGCTACGCACGTTGATTTATTGCAGTATACTTTCCTCGTTTCTATCAAAACAGGACCGTCTACGTATTGTCTTTCATTCCGTACTTATTGTCTACTTGGTGCGCTTCTGGTTACAGTGGTTCACAGAGCCAAAGATGAGTTGAATCTATACCGGGTCTAGCTCGCTGCTTTGCTAAGTATCTGAACGTTAGGTCAACATGAGACTTCTTGCCTAGCCTGTAATCCGACGCATCACTGGTTCGACTCGGAGTCCTCGTCCAAGCAGGAGTTTTGAAAAGTTGAAACACCGCCTCGTTCAATCCGTGGTCCTGCTATACGAAGGCGGCTAAACTTTTTTAACTTCCTTCATAAGTTCTTTATACCGACCGTGTTTAGATCACATGGTCGTCGCAGAAAATGAACCGTGGGAAAGCACGTACTTTTATCCCGCGACCACTGGCTGCTGGGTGTGTGTCGACCTTCAAGAATTCTTCAAGCTCAAGCTCCAAGTTGTGCGTTTGGCCCATTAGGAACACCTCTTTTCTATGTTCATCCAGGGTCAAAGGCCGCCTTGCGACGGATTCGTCCAACCCCCAAGGCTCAGAATGGGATGAATATCGCCAGGATCGTTGGTGAAGAATGCTCAAGTCGGACGCAGTACGGATAGGCGATAGAGGTGCATGCATTGTTCTTTTGACGTTGGGATGTCACTGACTTTAGCTGCCCAGGTCGATGTCCTTTATACTCATAACCGTGACCGAATTTGAAGCCGGAGGATTTTCGTGCAGATTTCCGGCGCTGTGCCAGTCTCCAGAATCATAGCTGCCGATGCGTGGTTAATAGCAGAAGTACCGGTATTGTTTCTTTGGCTTTGACGCGAACATCTGGCCGATTTCGTGTTTGCAGGTCTTGATGCATACATTGCGCCGCCAGATTATATGCCCGCCCTTCTAAAATCGGACTCGACTAGCTTGTATGGTGATACCCAGTTCGTTCAATCTCAGTCTATCACATGAACATCATTGAAGTCGCATCTCTCGTACGCATACGGTATGAGTCATCTCGGTCTATACGGTGCGTTCCTGTGTCCGCTTTCCTTACAATGCTAAGGTGCCTCTCTCTGTCTGCGCATATATGGCACAAGACTGCATACGGGACGCAAAGGACTGTACTCTATTAGCGGCAGGGTCCGTCCACCTCATCTCCTTTGTACTGCATTGACCGCCAGATGATGTTTCCTTTGAATCGGCATACTCTGGGTTGTTTGTCTACTGCGTTTACCCTAGTATCGTCCACAAAGACGGATTGGCCGGTATCACGCTGAAATACGAGAGCATCACTGTAGCATCATGGTGTAACGGGCTTGGTGGCTCGCGCAAGTCAAGCGCAAGTTGCGTTATTTCTGGCTCGATCCCAGCTAATGTTATATATGTAGTGCCACGGAAGCGTCTTTTTTTGGGAATAATCACGTATTTCACTGGCAAATGTTGCATTGTGCTGCCATGGTGACGTCTGATACCCTCGTCTTCACCATGTAAAATCATCTCTTTCGTAGTCTGGCAGCTCGTTTTGCTAATGAATATTCACGTCACAATTTTATTTCGCCTACCACTTCTGCCTTTGGCAGCGGCCTTTTACTGGCCGATCCAAGGATGCTCGCTGAGTTCTGATTCTTGCCTTCTCTTCGCAGCCCTTGTGATAACTATCCTCCATGATGCTTCAGCCTGTTATTGTGCCAATGTACTCCCTACAAATTTCCGTCTGCCTATCCAAGACACAAGATGACCGTACATTTGTGCCGAACATTGCCAGGCTAGAAACCTGGCTGATGATGGTGGACCTGCAGCCGTTTTTTTCGCTTACCTTCAGTATTTGCAGGTCTTTTAGAAGCCGTGTGAGCTCAATCATTGTAACTTGTCGGCCTCCTCCGCCCGTGCATCGTCCGCCTCGCTCTCTACGTTGTTGGCCGCAGCGTTCATCTCTTCTTCTCAGTCTACATTCAATGCCATCTCAAGTGTAACTGTGTATAGATTCGTCGCGCCGGCATGCTCGCCGCTGTCTTGGCATAGGTTGCTGACACTCTCTTTTTGGATAAGACTTTTTTTGTACCAGGCACATTGACCTACTCATGAACGATTGCGCACGCTCATTTTATACCTCCGTCGTCCCAACTAAAACACTGTCACCGTCATTCCTGATGTACATGCTGTCTGTCCTTGCTGTTGAATAACACTGCATTATTGCATCGGGAATCGTTGTTCGATCATAAACAGAAGAGACTTTGGGTTCAATTTGATCGTAGCTTTAAAACCTCCTTGTAGTAGCTCAATTGGGGCGCGCCACTACTATCTTGTTCATGGCGAGGTCAGTCGTTCAAGTCGACTAGAGGGAATACGAAATCGATATATGGCTTACTTTTTTTGCTCGCAATAAACTCGGTTTTATGTTCTGCTTCGTGGAGTTCGAGTATGGTACACTTAATGCGAGAGGCACGACTTTGGAGTCGTTCGTTCCAATGCGTGCCAATGGTCGATGCTCATGATGTCGCTGCTGTACTTGGGGGAGATGGCCATTACCGTCTTCTTGGCCTCTTCTTTGCATAGGAGCCTCGAACATGATTTCCATCCTGGGGTATTCAAACACACCCGTGTCCTCCTCATCTAGACATCGAGTATTTAAAGCTACTTAGTGGTAGCAACTCTTGCACTCCCCTGTGAGATCCGTATGCGGAATAGCGGTCCTTTCGACTTGTTCTAATAATACTCGGTAGTAGGAAGCGGACAATGTATCTACTAAAGGATTTTGCGACCACACATGCCCTGCCTAGCTTTGGTAGGGGAAACAAGAGAGGGAGAAGCATAACGGTGAGGGTATCTACTGAATCTACTAGCTATAAGAGTCATGACCATTTTTTGAACCGTAGCTTCCTGAAATCTAGTGGTCAAATCCACTTTTATTTCACCCGCACTACGCTACGTTGTCCTGAAGTTTGAAAGGTACCGACGGCGCAGATTCCTGCATCATCGCATCGCTCGATACTCGAGCGATGGCCAGTATAGGCGCCAAACCCTGACAATGTCATATTAGCACCTACAGGATAAAGCATCGAGCCGAAGCTCACAGTACACATGGTCACATCAAGCACTGGACAACTCGTACCCATGCCGCTCTTGATGTAAATAGCCAACAAATCATCGGCCCCACGGCGAATAATAATGAAAACTTGATGATGACCTTGATCCAGAGCCGGCAGGTTCTCCTATTGCATGGATCCATTACGATGCGATATAAGATGACTAGCATGCACAATATTGTTACAGCAAGCGACATAGAGTAGTAGGGGAGCATCCAATCGATCTGGGCCGCACATGTGTTTCCTGGGGACGGCGTAGTGGTCATTTCGTAGAGACCAAAACATGCAAAAACTGGGTTGGACGTTAATTATATTTGAGGACGATAATGATGAAAGGGACGAACTCAATCCAGTGATGGTGCATAGTCCTGGAATAACGGTGAAGAGACTCTGTGCGTGCAAGCTAGAAATGCAACAGCATCGAAGACACTGATCACACCCACACCCAACACAACACACACAAACCCTCAAGTTCGTGGGGGATTCTGATGCGATAGAAGCAGATAGAAACACGAGAACCAAACTCTCAAAGTATAAGATACACCAGTACAGCAGTAGCGCGCATCAAGTATCTAGATCTCTCTAAGTCCAAAGGCTTTTAATAACAAGAGGAGCGACAGTTGTCGCTGGGCCTCAAGGCAAGGTGTAATACAATACTTGCAACATCGAGAGACGTACACAAAACCCTCACAAAGCCTAGCGCGACACACAGAATGACCTCAAACGGCTTATAACACACACCACACAACTCAAAGCTTCACGCTCCACACAGAAACACGTCACAAAACCTTCCACTAAAGCCACAGGATTCAAACCTATGCGCTCAAGCT